AGAACCCTTCACGTGACCTTCCCAAAACTCACTGGGAAAAGATTTGTATCTGGTGTAGCCGGGGGCATTCAGGATGAGGTCTCCAAGAGGAGAGCTGAGGCCCGTCTGGGTACTAGTGTTCACTGCTGAAGACTTTATTCAAAAGTTCCGGTTCCTTTATCTCCTACAGACCCAACGCTAACTTAACAGGTGGAAGCCAGAATAACCTGAACACACAAAGCTGTTGTGAAACACCCTAAAAAAGAAGGCTCCCAGGATCCAATCCTGTTGTCTTTCGCTACCAAAACCTCACACCGCTCGCCAAATTTAAGAGCGTTTCCCCATGTAGAATGTAGAATGTTCTGGTTTTACGCCTACACCCACAAGCAGGGATCCTGCTGGCTTGTGTGGTGTTGCCCTCCAGGGTATCAGCTAGGCCCAGCTAACCCCATATTCTGCAACACAGGGCTCCCTGTTGGTTTCCTAGGACAGAAGTTTGTCTTTGGCAGTCTCCACGTGATGGCTTGAATCACATGTGACTGGCTCAAGATTCTGGGCTTCCATTTAGACTTGAACTGGTAAAACCCCACAGTGGAGATGGCCCCAGCTGGAGGCATGCAGGAAATACTGGATCAAAGTCCTCTGTCCTGGGCGTGTGAGAAAGATGACTGTCAGCCCATTGGCTATTGGTGAGGAACGTGTGAGGTAAGAAAGCATTCAGAAAGCATCGTGACATTAAATGCAAAGATGGGTGGACCTGCCTCCCTCTCTGAGGCAGTGAGGAGCCTGGCGCCAGTGCACTCAGTCACTGTGCTGGGCTGATTCTAGAAGGTTCTAGAAGGAAAGGGGGCAACTTCAATTTCCTGGTTCCTTAAGTCCTGGATCTTTCCATCCATCCATCCATCCAAGCCCTATTTTCTTTAAAATTTCCAATCCATTCTTCACAGGTGATGTGCTACCACCATCAGGCTCCCTTTTGTAGTAAAGAGAAAAAGAGATGTGTGTGTGTTCTTATCTGTTCATGCCTCTGAGATGCCTGGACATGTGAACCAATGTGTGGTTCTGGCCAAAACATTACTTAGTATCAGAGGAAATGTTAATCGTTTTCCACTTAAAGCATCTGGCTCTACAAAGCAGGAAAGGAGTACTTTGCCACACTTCAACTTTCCTGTCCTTGGCTGTTCACTTGGATGGACAAGCGACAGACTGGGGAAGTTTCAGGGGGAGCCCTCTGCAGGAGAGAAGGATTTAGAAGTAGGACAAAGCCCAGCTTTTCCCCACTAATTTTTAGGGGGGGGGGTCTCACTTTGGTAAGCCATTGACAGAGATTGAGGCCAATGTAAATCAAGTCTCGCATTTATTGAGCATGCAATTTATGAAGAATCAAGCCTGGTAGAGTTGCCACTTCAGGAACAGGGTGTGTGTGTGTGTAGAGTCCTTGTCACATTGTTTCATATAGAATTCTCATCAGTCGGATCTTTTGTTGTTCCCTCTCTCTGGCATCCTGGATCCTGCGTTGTGAGCTAAGTGGGCATCGCCCTTGTCCTCTAGTCTGTTTTCATCTAGAAGGACATGCAGGCAGCAGAAGTAACTGAACACTCAACTTGGCCCCTGCAGCTCCTTCCAGTTATGCCTGAGTAAAGCAAGAAAATGAGTTCTCAGAGGCCACCCGTCTTCTCACTCCTATCTATGCTGTAGCATCGACACACACACCCAGCATAAAACATGCCTGAGGATGTCCATAAGGTCTGGAGCTTTAGGTTACTACATAGACATGTCATCTACAACGTTTTCAGCCTGAGAAGAAACAAAATAGCACTGTCAGTGTTTTCAGACTTCCTGGGCACCCCATGGTTTGTGCAATAGCAAATAGAAGGAAAAAAATCATGAAACTTCTGTTTATTCAGGGTGGGAAGCAGAGGAATTTGCCACTTAGGTTTGTGATTCAGCAAAGACTTCCTAGAAGTAATTTTTAAAAATCTTTGGATAAATCAGGAGAGCAGGAAAATTTACCATAGGGAGAGAGTGGGGTTAAAGACGAGCATGGATTGGTGCGACTGAGTCTCCTAGTCATCTTTCAAGTATTTGTTTAGATCAGTGGTGACCAACTGGGGATAGTTTTGTCCCCCTGGGATTTGTCAATGTTTGGAGCTACAATTGGGAGGGAAGAACTTCTGGGTAAATACCCGGGATGCTGCTGCACGTCTTAGAACAAGCAAGGCAGCCCCACAGCAGGTATCTCAGCTAAGATGTCACAGGCTCCAACCATGCTGAGAAAGCATGCGTGCAGTGATCCTCAGAGGAGCGTCTCCTGCCACACTTCAGCCAGGGCTAGTTTCCCTCTAATGCCCTCATCTCGCTTTGCACTTCCCCTCTGTAGCAGCTATCACAATTATAATTTAATGCGTTATAATCATCTTCACAAAAGCCACAATCCGTGGAGGAAGACACAGTATCTCTTGCATCTCAGTTCCAGCACCTATCCCAGTGCCAGGCACACAGTAGACCCTCAGTGTTTATTGAATGAATGAAGAAGGGACTCATAACTGGGTGGAAAAGAGGTGCTCAAGTTGTTAAGTAAGCAAAAGAGATACTCAAAGTGTTAAGTATAGCTGTAGTTTCAGCAGCTTTCCAAAGTCTGTCAAGTGATTTCTTCTCTATTTGAATTTAAGAAAATGATGAGGTTGGCTGTGGCATGAAGGGGAGGCAGAATGAGCACTGAAACTCTTCTATGTGTGCCCTTTTAATTCATAACCTACCACAGTATTTCAGTATTTTCACATTTTATCAGCAGATGAACTTGAATGCTAGCCATGGCAAAACAAAACAAAACAACAACAAAAAAACCCTCAAGAGTTGAATCAGGATTGATCTTGGGGCAAAGACCTTTCATCACTTGGCATGACGCCCTTTCAGTCTGCTGTTACTTTTTCTCTTATAGCCATGTGACACCATTCTGCTCCAGGGGATGGAAAGGAGATCCACTAGGATGGGAATTCTGGGAATGTTTTTGCTTTGCAGATAGAAGAGAGAAAATAGACACTAGTGTTCTTTCCCTTGAATGGAACAAACATCAGCAAATTGCCTATACCTGGGCTGATTATTTCATGAAAAAAGCAGTTCACCTCTGTTTAGGCCACTGTGTTGGGTTTCTTCTTACCTGTTGCTGAATATGGTACACCTGATGATATATTCTTCCATCTTGGCAGCCAAGCTTTCTCCATGTCCTTTATAAAGTTGCTAGAGCAGAAATCAAGATGATAGCTAGTGCAACCTGGCCTGAGCTTAATCTCTTATGAAACACAAAGTAAATTTACGACTCTTTAAGTTGGTAGAGGCTATGGCCTTGATGGATTGGTGGTGAAGTCCAGTGCTGCTTTGAGATGAGTAAAACAGAGAGAGTGATGCCAGAGCTTGGTCCTGGATAGGTGAAAAGCTCAAGTGTTCCTGATACAGTGTGCACCTGCTAACCTCCCATGTACATTTTGCAGACTTTTGTTTTTGTTTTTGTTTTTCTTGGTAGTTAGGGAATGGTTGGAAAATGAGGATTTCAGATGCCGTTTTAAAGTCCTGAGTAGAAGAAAACAACTTAGCATAGAATGGCTACTCTATATCGTCGTGTGGCTATTCTGCTCTGTGTTCTCCTCCAGGAGGCTCTAAGAATCTAAGAGATGAAGGTCCGGTCTTACTGCTCTCACTTTCTCTGATCCCAGCAACGTGCCATGCCTATGGGATAGTCATAGCATTTGCCCGACTGAACTCTTCCAGTTTTCTGTCCCTTGATCTTTAAAGTGAAAGGGTGTAAAAAGAAGAGAAAATTAAAATCAGTTTAATTTCATTTCTTTCATTCATCTCTGTTGGTTACCTTAGCACTAGTTTTTTGTGTTTTAACTTAATAGAGAACATGGACCTCTGAGTTAGGGATGATCCTTAAGGAAAAAAATTATATGCAAGGAAAGAATATTTAGGGCAGGGGTTCGCCCTGGCAGTTAGGTTACAGCTGGGGCATCAGCATCCCACATCTGGGATGTGCCTGTGTTTGTGTCCTGACTCTGCTCTGATTCTAGCTTCCTGCAGTGCATACCCAGGGAGGCAGCATGTGATGACTCGTGTAGCTGAGTCCCTGCCACTGATGTGGGAGACTCGGACTGAATTCTCAGCTCTGGACTTGGGCCAGGCCAGCTGTTTCAGGCATTTGGGAAGTGCACAAGAGATGGAAACTGATTGATGTGTTTGTGAGTGTGTGTGTGCACACACGAATGCATGTGTGTCTCTCAAGTCAATAAGAACAGAATATTTTGAAAGGAAAATTTTCCAAAATTGCATTCCTCAGAATCCAGTTCCTTAAAATAAATGCATTCTTTCATTTGGGAATTACTGGACTAAACAGCCACTGTCCTTTTTAGTGTATGTTTTGTCTTTCTTAGAGGTACATGGTCTGCTACTCTTCAAATCTGTGTTTGTGCAATTCCAAAAGGATACCAGGGCCATAAATACTTACGGAATAATAATTATTTGCTCCTTTGTGACAAAGTTTAGTATCTATTTTTCATTTTATTTGTTTATAAGGAAAAGGGAAAATGATTGATTGATTTCCCTTTCACCGGATTATTCTCCAAATTCCTGCAATAGCCAGTGCTGGGCCAAGCCAAATGCAGGAGCTGGGAACTCACTCTGGGCCTCCCAGTATTTGAGTCATCACCTGCTGTCCCCCAGGGCATGCATCGGCAGGAATCTGTAGTCAGGAGTGGAGGGGGGCTTGAACTCAGGGGCCTCAACTATGAGATGCAGATGTCGCCAGCAAGGATTTAACTGCTGCTCCAAATGCACACCCCAGAACTGCTGTTACGGATCATAAATTGTATAAGAAAGGGGTGCATGGGAAAAGGTAAGGAGACAGAACTTCAGAAATCGGGGGATCCAAGCAGACAGAAAAACAGACAATAGGAAAGAAACGTTTGAGTTTCATGCATCCCATGACACTCTGTAAGTGTATGGTTTCACATAGAGAATGAAGAAAGTGTATGTTGCACATGGTGTTAGCTCAGAATCAGGAGCTTAACAATAGGTTCTACAAATTTCCTCTAACCTGGCTTACTTTTCTAAGCTGATTATCCAGTGGGTGATGAGTTCGTCTTCTTTCAGAAAACCATTTCTGAAATGAGCTGTAAAAGTTAAAAAAAAAAAGTTATAGGGGCCAGCATTGTGGTATAACCAGTAAATCCACCACCTGTGACACCAGCATCCCATGTGGGCACCAGTTCACGTCCCGGCTGCTCCACTTCTGATCCTGCTAATAGCCAGGAACACAGCAGTAAATGACCCAAGTGCTTGGGCCCTGGTACCCACATAGGAGACCAAGTAGCAGCTCCCTACTGCTAGCTTCAGCCTGCCCTAGCCCAGGCCATTGCAGCCATTTAGGGAATGAACCAGTGAATGAAAGGTATCTTTCTGTGTCTCTCCCTCCCTCCCTTTCTCTCTGGAACTTTGCCTTTCAAATAAATAAATCTTCTTTTAAAGAAGTGACGTTGATGGAAAACATTGAGTTATTTCAAGAATAGAGTCAAATAACATGTATGAAAAGACTTAGTACTGTGTGAAAAAAGTTATGTTTATTTTTATCATAATCCCTGAGAGTCATTTTTAAAGATTTATTTTTTTTATGTATTATTTATTTGAAAATCAGAGTTACAGAGAGACAGGAAAAGACAGAAAAGGGAAAGAGAGATTTCTGTCTGCTGGTTCACTCCCCAAATGACCTCAAAGACCAGGGCTGGGACAGTCCAAAGCCAGGAGCTTCGTACGGGTCTCCCACATGGTTGGCAGGGACCCAAATCCTTGGGCCATCTTTTGCTGCTGCTTTCCCAGGGTCATTCACAGGGAGCTGGGTGGGAAGTGGACCAGCTGGGACTCAAATCAGTGTTCATATGAGATGCTGTGTCACATCACGGGCCCCACCCCTGAGTCTTAGTTGAAGTTTCTTTTTTTTTTTTTTTTTTTTTTTTTTGAGGGAAAGAGTTTATTGGGGGAAACCCGACAGACTGGAGGGAAAGGGTGAAGAAGGAAAAGAGGGAGGGGAATGTAAGAGAGAGAGAGAGAGAGACAGAGGTCAGGAGACGGAGAGGAAGAGAGAGCCACGTGTTCAGGAACAGGTCCTTTTGAAACTTTGCCAGGGGGCAGGCAGGGAAGCAGGGGCAGCGAATCCCATTAGGATGGGGGTGGGGCTGACACTGGTGGTTGGGCCATGTGGCCACCTGGCTTCCAGCAATGGCAGTGGGAGCTAGAGCCTAGGATGGTGTCAGGGTGTAGATCGCACCATAGATTAAGACTGTGCCATTTTACTAACATTCCCTACTTTTGTTTTTTATAAAGCAGGAGTTGTATAGGATTACATTAATCCCAAAAGTCCAGGAGGGGTAGAGGGACGATGATCTGTCTTTAGAGCTACTTCTGCTGACATGGGGCAATGAGGTACTCTTCGCTGGCATGGGGTGATGTCCCAAGCTGCTGTCTCCTGACTGGGGAGCCGAGTATTATATCCCTGTAGCAGCATTTGGTTGTCCACCTGGTTGCTGAAGGCCTTCGTTCATTCCATTATCAACTCCTGTAAACACTTAAGCAGACATGGTAGTATAAAAGGGTGAGAATAGCAACCAATGATCTTGAGTAGCATTAACCAGTTAATGAGAGGATTTTATAGAGGAGAGGAAATGAGGGGGTTCTATGGACCCTTGTGAAGACTGATGGATGTGGTGTAAAGCTGAGCCCAACCAAGACTGGGAGAAAGGCCACTCAACATATGCAGGTAGAGGGGTCTGTCTGTAGAGAAATCTGAGCAATCATACAACATTGAGTGAGTTGAAGTTTCATGCTACCAGATCAAGAATAATTGAGTTTCAAGATTTATCTTTTGCTTTTGTTTGAAAGGCAGAGTGACAGACGGAGAGAGTGAAGGAGCAATATGAGAGAGATCTTCTATCCACTGGTTATACTCCCTAAAGAGCTGCAGAAGCCATGCCTGGGCCAGGCCAAAGCCAGGAGCCCAGAACTGCATCCTGGGCTGTCTCCCACGTGGAGGGCAGGGGCCCAAGCACTTGACATCTTCCACTGCCTTCCCAGGCACATTAACAGGGAGCTAGATCAGAAGTGGAGCAGCTAAGACTGGAACCTGTGCTCTGACGTGGGATGCCATTGTAACACGCAGTGGCTTTACCTACTGTACCCCAACACCAGCCCCAAGAATGATGAACTTCTAAACACTGTTAGTATCTGATATGTTGGCAAGTGGTTGGGTCAAGCCATGAAAATGAAATAACTTCTCAGGAAGCATGTGTTTGTAATGACCTCTGAGGCAAAGTAGCCAACCGAATCAGGACTGGTCCTACCATACATGTATCTATCAGAAGTGTTAAGTTTAATATCTGTTGACAAATTTTAACACTGAAATAAGCAAACACATGATTTTTTTCTTTTGATGGAATTTGAGAGTTCCAAGGTGAAAACCCTCAAGCCATAAACATTACACAGCTTGACAAACTCCTCGTTCTGGAACTACTTTGTGAAAACAACTTTGGTCCCGAAAGTGTTAATGCAATTTGATAAAAATCAGCTTTTGCTTGGGGTGTCTTTTGAAGCTAGTGTAACTCCTAGTCATTCTATATGACTATAAAAGCTTTGTGGAATCAAATCCTAATCCCAACATGTTTTTCTTGTTCATTTAAACCTTTTATATACATATGGGAGCCAGAGAGAGCTTAAGCTTAAATTGTCATTCTCATGCATGCTCCCTGAAAGGTATTTGGCATGTTTGTATTCGCAAGTTGAAGTACACATTTGTGTTCTTAAGTCTTTTCTTTCCTTTCGCTCTGTGTTTGTGTTTTGTATGGGTTTGGTTTGGCTTGGTTTATAAATACGGACTATCTTATAATGGGAGGACGGGCAGGCATGCTAGCGTTTGGATTGTTTGCTAACCACCTCATGCATGGCATCGGAGAATGTTCATTCTGTAAGTTAGTCCTTGACTCAAGCTCCCAAAGGACAAAAGTGTTCTCTACGCAAACTCCATTACCTCAGCCACCACCAGCCCAGCCCCGAGAAGTACACAAAGCCCAAATAAAACTAAGTTAGCGAAGCTGTCCAGGGCTGTGAGAGTCAGACTTCACTCTGCAGACTTTCTGCTTTTGTTTTTGTCATGAAAAAGAAGCACCTGTGGCTGCTAGGTGGGCTTCATAGCTCTGTATTACCCCTACGACTCTTAAGCCCAATAGTTATCCCAAGGAAAGATGGGGTTTAATCATAAGAAATTCATCTAAAGATTAAATTTAAATGAACTCGGGAAAAGAGGAGAAAATCCATACAGTGCAGCTAGAATGTGAAGGAAATAAGGATTTGTTCTCAGGAGGTGATGACTTTTGCTGCAAAGAAACATTTCCAAAAGTACTTGTTTCATGCAACCACTGTTTGGTCAGCTCAGGATTCTGCGAGTCTGTAGCTGGCAGTTGGTCCTCTTGACTGGTTCCTCTGCGCTGCGCTGGGGGTGACTGATCTCAGCTGGGTTCACTCGTGGGTCTGTGGCCGAGGTGGCTTAGTTGTGCACCGTCTGCTCCAGGGTGGCCAAGGCAAGGAGACTGGAGTCTCTCTCCATGTGGTTCTCAGCCCCGTCCTTACTCACATACAACTTCCATAATGTTTCCATTTATTTGGAATCCATTTGTTTGTAATTTTCTTAATGTGAATCATATTAGAGCATCCTGGTGACAACATCTTCTAACTTGGCTGGTGGGACTTTTCTCGAGACAAGGAGTAGAAAGAAAACCAAGATTTCTCCCGAGTTACTTTCAATAACCTTTAGAGTTATTGTATTTATGTTTTTCATGGCATCAGCCCTAAATGTTTCCAGGAAGGAGCCACAGTCCAAACAAAACTAATTAATTAATTAGATGGTTAAATGATTAAAAATGGATGGCTAAATGAATTAGCATTTTTATTGAATTTATTGTTTTATATTTTACTTCCCATTTCCTGTGTGTCTCAGATGAGCTCACCAGTCCCTGGCTCTTTGCTGCTAGCAACTTTGTCCTGTGGTTAAAGTGGGACACCACTTCCAAACTGCAGCTGCTGCAGAGTGGGGTTTACTTGTCCCTCACCAATTAATCAGGAAGCTCCAAGTGACTGATGGCTGCCTCCATCAACACAGGATGTTTTGACACAGCTGTTTGGACAAGGCTGTTTGAGGCCCCCTACAGGGCTCAGTGGCATTTGGGAGCAGGGCACAGCCCCAAGGGTCAAGGTTTGAAAGCAGCCTCTTGTCTCTCATCAAACAGTAAATGTTCAAATGAGTATCAGGGGCCCCTACTCTGTGCCTGCCCCCCCAAAAGAAGACAATGGTGAGCAAGTGAAGCCAGCTCTGCTCTCATTGGACACTGCTGTGAAGTTGAAGGGAGAATTGCTGGTTAGTAGAGAAAACACTGGGAGTAGATACTGGAGGAGAGGGAAGAGGTTTTAAACGTGTGGTTGTTGAGAATGTAGGAGCAGGTAGTCCAGGAAACTATTCGAGATTACCAGATGGTGACATTGATGCTGTGAGGCTACCATGCAGTGTCTACCTGGAGGGCTCAGCTGCCCAAGCCTAAGAAATTGCATAGATTTGTCCAAGGCTTCGTACATACTTGTTGGCTCTGAAGAAACTACAAGGATGCATGAAAATTTAAAGTATGGGCAAGGGAGTTCTGAACTGATGAGATATGGAATGCAGGCTTCGTAGTACAACTGAAAAATGGGTTAGACTTCTCATCCTCATTGGCAGACAAGACCAGAGATCTTGAGCTTGTGACAAGAATGGAATTGGCAGTCTTGAGCTATGCTCTGTACCATCTAAGGTAGTCTGATATCACCACTCCTGGAAATGATACTGGATGGTAATGCTCTAAGAAAATTAGCAGTCATATGTAGCACAGTTAGAAATGGTAGATTAAGTTGTATTTTCTCTATCTCATGACTGTGGCTTTGTTATGAAGTTCAACCTGTTCAAATTTACTTTTCCAAACTCATTGACAGGGGCATTTAAGTTATCAGCCAAGTGAGGCTGGAGAGAAATGACAGTAAGAGAAACTTCAGGTTTAGACATTTTGTAAAATCAGCAAAATGCCTAAAAGCCTATTTAAAT